GATTTTAACACTTTTTTCCGGCACTTCTTAAATGCTTTTTCTCTACTGACAATATTAACACTTGCATTATAATTTTATTTGCCACTTTTTTGCTTTGTTTTCTGATTCTAAAAAGAATGCAAGTTTTAAGATTTGAAAAAAAGCCCAAAAAGAAAAGAATAAAGAAATAGAAAGCCGATATTTATATATATATATATATATATATATATATATATATATATAATATTATATATATATATATATATATATAATATATATATATATATATATATATATAATATATATATATATATATATATATATATATATATATATATATATATATATATAATATGTATATATATATTATGATATATATATCTATCTGATTCTATCCATTTTTTCTTTTCTTTTGTCAGCAATGGTTTCCTATTTAATTTCACTTTACACTTATTTATTCATTATTTAATTTTCATTTATCTTTTTTTTATTATTTATTTTCCAGTCCATTGCAGATCAAAGTTCCCCTTCTCTTCACAAGGTCTCGGGACACCAGCTCAACCAAGACTCTGTAGTGACCTTGTGCCAGAGCCATCAACACCCTTTGTCATCCTCATTAGCATCAGCAGAGTCATTAGAACCCTCATTAGTATCTTGATGGTCATTAGCATCATAGGGTCAATAGTATCACAGGGTCATTAGTATCATTAAGTTCATTAGCCCCATAGTGTCATTAGCCCTCATTAGCCCCATAGTGTCATTAGCCCTCATTAGCCCATTGCCATAGTGTCATTAGCCCTCATTAGCCCATTAGCCCTCATTAGCCCCATTAGCCCCCATAGGGTCATTAGCATCATTGGGTCATTAGTATTATTAGGTTCATTAGCCCCATAGGGTCATTAGAGTCATCAGAGTCATTTGCATTATCATTATTATCCTCATCATTCTCGTTATCTTCATTATCATCGTCATTATTACCGTCATTATTACCGTCATCAATACCATCATAGTCATAAATCCTCATCAACTTTGTCATTATCATTGGTTATTAATCATCAACATCATCATAGTCCTTAATGACCCTCATCGTAGTCATCAGTCATCAATGAAGCTGTTAATCATCACCATAATCATAGTCATTAAATATCATCACAGTCATTAGTCCTCATTCACATTTTTCTATCATTATCGTTTTCATCTTTTATTCTTTCAGTTCGTTTCTATTTCTTTCTCCCTTTCTCCTTCGTTCTTTTCTTTTTTCTGTCATTTCCTTTTATAATTTTTGTCTCTCTTCCTTCACTTTATTTCGTTTTTTTCTCTAATGCTTTTTTCTTCTGTCTTTCCCCTTCTTTTTCTTTGTCTTTCGCACTCTTTATCTTTATATTTCATTTCCTTGTTTTTGCCTCGCTTCTTTAATTTTTTTCTTCTCTCTGTTTCCTTCTCTCATCTCAATGTTCTCTCTCTTTCTATCTTTTTTCTTTCTTTCTTTCTTTCCTTCTCTCTCTCTCTCTTTCTTTTTTCTATCTTTCTTCCCTTTTATCTCTCTCTCTCTATTTCTCCCTCTCTCTCTCTATCTATCTATCTATCTTGTCTCTTTTTTCAGCTTCTTTCAATTTATTTTTTTCCTTTCATCTTTCCTTCATTCTATCTTCTTTCTATTTTCCATTTTCACTGTATAGCTTTCCGTTTTTTCACCGTGTTCTTAATGGTTTTCCTTCTTTTTCCTTCCTATGTACTTTTTGTTTTCTTTTGCTCTTCTACTGTTCTTCTTCGCTGTCCTATTCCTCTTCCCTTTTCCCTATTTTTCTTCTTTACCATCTCCTTCTTACACCCTTTATTCATTTACTTTCCTTTGCCTTTTTTCTTCTCATTTATACAATTTCATCACTTATTTAAAGACTTACCATCCACCACTATAGAATAGCACTGTATTTCATAATACACATATTCAGTGCATCACACTCAACAACTCAACATCATCATTATTATTGCAACAAAAATCAGTTGCAATTAATTCCCTGTTATGATATTTAATGTAGATCCACTTTGCTTGGCTGCCATTGGTGATACTTTAAAACTTTTATAATTGTACTTATGATTAATATCTGTTCATGATTCCAAAAGATATGCACTTGTATGAACACAGTCTAACTACTAATTCGATCTTACATTTTATCTAAACTGCTGAAAATAGTTCATGAAAAGCTACATGCAGAGAAGAATTCTAAGAAAACTAAACTGTAACGTCCTATCTTCTTTGAATTAAGAAATAGATTTGAAATCCCTCTGAAGGAATGTGCATGATTTATTGCATGTTTTCTGCACTTAGTGTCCTCCTCTGGTATATACTGAAATGGCAGTATTTTGTAGAGTCTCTTTTGACATGACTTTGCCTTCGTTTTTCAAAGTGTTCAAACCTTTTATTGACTTAGATCAAATGCCACTTTAGGAGCGTGGTACTTAGCGTCACAGTATTTTGTTAAAAGCTTTTATATTTTACTGAGAAGAGCTTTTTTGTTTGTTTGAAGAAGTCTGAAATGACTGATGTTATTTTCATTTTTGTTTCTCTTAATTTCATAGATTGGTTCTGTATAGATTTTATGCTTATTTAGAGATTTGATTTTTTCTTAAAAGTTTTTGTGTTATTTTTGAAAATGTAAGTTGCAAGCGTACTTTTTTCTTTTCGCTCAAAGTTGAAAAACGAATTAGTATTAGCTTACGTGAAAGACCTCTATTTTTTAATCTCCTTTTTATATACAGTTTTGTTATTTTTATTTAGTTGTTCATTTGAATACTTGCTGCTAGACGGTGATGTGTTCTTCCATTTTTGTTTCCTTTTTTTCATTTTTTTTAACAGCATAACATAAAATTCATGAACATCTTTTCATAACCTGCTGCAGGACCTTGCCTCTTATTTTTACAACCTTAATTGCTACCTCTGCTTGTGAGTACTATAAACCTCTTTTAAAAAAAATGAACATCAAACCTTCACCCTACAATATATATACATATAAAGAACCTCCCCACTAAACAACCCATCCTATAATATTCCTCCAGGGTCCATGTTGAGGATGGAAGGTCAGGTCACAAGGGGGTTGACCTCATATTCACGAACATTAGCAGAACTGACCGCGGGAAGTACACCTGTTCTGCCAACGTGGATGGCGTGGAAGAAGAGCGCTCATTTGACCTCGTTGTCCTGAGTAAGTATTTGGGTGTAGGTGTTGCGGGGGGGGGGGGGGATGTGTGGGTGTATGTGACGGAGGGATGGGTGTGTGTGTGTGGGGGGGGGGGGTTAGATGTGTGTGCGTGTTTGTTTTCTGTGTGTGTGGGAGTGGAGAGAGAGTGTGTGTGTGTTTGGGGGACGGAGGGATGTGTGGGTGTGGGGGGTTGGGGATGGGTTTAGATGTGTGTGCGTGTTTGTTTTTCTGTGTGCGTATAGTGGAGAGAGAGGGAGAGTGTGTGTATGTGTGAGTGTTTGGGGGAGGGAGGGATGGATGTGTGGGTGTAGGGGGTGGGGATGGGTTTAGATGTGTGGGCGTGTTTGTTTTTTCTGTGTGTATAGACGTGGAGAGAGACAGAGAGAGTGTGTGTGTGTGTGCGTGTTTGTGCATGTCTATAATATAATATTTTGAAAAAAAATCATATTTCCTCTCTCCTCAACCACCTCCCCTTTCTCCCTTCCTCACCACGCCCTTATCCCTTCTCCTCACCTCCTCCTTCTCCTCTCCTCCTCCCTTCTCCCTCACTCTCCTCCTCCTTCCCCTCTCCATCTTCACGCGCCCCTTATCCTTCTCCCTCCTTCCTCTCTTTACCTCCTCCTCCCCTCATTCCCTCTCCTCTTCCCCCTTCTCCACCGCACCCTTACCCCTTCTCCCTCTCCTCCTCCTTCCCTCTCTCCATCTCCACCACGAACTTACCCCTTCTCCCTCACCCTCCATCTTCCCCTCCTCACTCTCCTCTCCTCCTTCCTCTCATCCCCATCTCCACCACCCCTTACTCCTCCTCCTCCTCCTCCCTTCCTCCTCTCACTCCACCACGTCCTTACCCTTCTCCCTCACTCCTCCTCTTCCTCTCCTCCCTTCTCCGTCACCCTCCTCCTTCTTTCCTCTTCCTATCTCCTTACCCCTTCTCTCCTCAACTCCTCCTCCTTCCTTCCTTCCTTCCTCTTCCCCATCTCCACCAGCCCTTACTCCTCCTCCTCCTCCTCCTTCCTTCCTTCCTCTCCATCTCCACCACGTCCTTACTCCTTCTCCTCTCCTCCCTCGTCCCTCTCCTCCCCCTTTCCCTCTTCCCCCTCCTTCCTTCTTCCCCATCTCCACCACGCCCTTACCCTCTCCTCCCTCCTCTCCTTCCTTCCTTCCTTCTTCCCCATCTCCACCACGCCCTTACTCCTCCTCCTCTTCCCTTCCTTCTCCACCTTATCCTTCTCCTCACCTCCCCTTTCTCCCTCCTCCCTCTTCTCCCTCCTCCTCCTCCTTCCTTCTTCTCCCCATCTCCACCGCGCCCTTACCTTCTCCCTCAACCTCCTCCTCCTTCCTTCCTTCCTTCTTCCCCATCTCCACCACGCCCTTACTCCTTCTCCCTCTCCTCCTCTCCTCCTTCCTCCATCCTTCTTCTCCATCTCCACCGCGCCCTTACCCTCTCCTCCTCTCCTCCTCCTTCCTTCCTTCTTCCCATCTCCACCACCCTTACTCCACTCCTTCCTTCCATCCTTCTTCCCCATCTCACCGCCCTTACTCCTCCTCCTCCTTCCTTCCTTCCTCTCCATCTCCACCGCGCCCTTATCCCTTCTCCCTCACCTCCTCTTTCTCCCTCCTCCCCCTTCTCCCTCACCCTCCTCCTTCCTCCTTCCTTCTTCCCCATCTCACCGCGCTTACCTCCTCCCGCTCTTCCAGAACACCTCGACTTCATGGACACGCCCGTCACCCAGTTCCTCGAGGAGGACCACGATTCCGTTCTGCGCTGTGACGTCGACGGAGACCCCGCCCCGAGGGTGTCCTGGAACATCAACAACAGGAAAGTCACTTTTGGTAAGAGGCCCTTGGGTTTTTTTTTTTTTTTTTTTTTTTTTTTTTTTTTTTTTTTTTTTTTTTTTTTTGTCTGTCATTCTTTCTTTTTGTTTGGCTATCACTTTTGGGAAGAGGTCCCTGGGTGTTTTTTTTTCTGTCTATCATTCTTTCTTTTTGTTTGTCTGTCACTTTTAGTAAGAGGTCCATGGGTGGATTTTTTTTTCTCTCTATCATTCTTTCTTTTTGTTTGTCTGTCACTTTTGGGAAGAGGTCCCTGGGTGTTATTACTGTTTTTTTTTTTTTTTTTTTTGTCTATCATTCTTTTTTTGTTTGCCAATCTTTATTTTTTTTCTTTTCTTTTCTTGTTTCTTTCTTTTTTTGTCTTTCTTTTTTTTTTTCTTTTCTTTGTTTTACTTCTTTCTTTCTGTCTTTCTTCATTTCTTTGCTTCTTTCTTTGATTCTAGCTTTTCTATTCTTTATTTGTTTTTTTTTTCTTCTTTCTCTATTTTTGGCCTTTTTTTCTTCTTTGCTTATGTTTTGCTTTTTTACTTCTTCGTTTTCACCCGTTTTTTTTTTCTTTTTCTTTTTCTTTTTCGTTTTCCCTTCTTTCTGATTTGATTTTTTGTTCTTTGGTTTTACTTTTTTTGGTTCTTCCTCTTCTACTTCTTTATTTTTTTCTTTTTGTTGCCTTTCCCTATCTACCTATCTATTTATCTATCTATCTGTTTGTCTGTCTATGTCTCTCTCTCTCTCTCTCTCTCTCTCTCTCTCTCTCTCTCTCTCTCTCTCTCTCTCTCTCTCTCTCTCTCTCTCTCTTTCTTTCTTGACGAATAGATAATGATTATAATATCGATACTAATTGTAATAATGATAATTATGATGATAACAGTACTGGTAATGATGAAGATAATGATGACGATAAAAACAATAATAAAAATGATGATATTGATGCTCGTAATAATAATAATAACAACAACAACAACGAAGCAGTAGCAACAACAATAATAATGATAATAATAAAAGTTAATTATTATAATTATGATGATAATGATAACAGAATAGAATAATAATGAGAATGATTATGTCAATGGTGATACTGAAAAGGATGATGATGATAACTATGATAAAGATAATAGATTAAATATTGTTAATGATGGAAAGAACAAACATAATGCTAATAACCATAATAGAAAGATAAAAGGGTAGTAGTAGTAACAGCAGCAGTTGTAGCAGTAATAGTAGTAGTATGATTAGACATACAACTAGACATAACAAATCAATAGAGAAATTATTTAACCACCAACCCTCCCTTCCCCACCCCTTCCCCACGCCCCTCTCCATCACCGCCCTCCCCCCTCCCAACGCCCCTCACCCCTCTCCCCCCCACGCCCCTCTCCCCCCGCCCCTCTCCTCCCCCTACGCCCCTCTCCCACCCACGCCCCTAACCCCCTCACGCCCCTCTCCTTCCCCACGCCCCTCTCCCCCCACACGCCCCTCTCCCCTCCACGCCCTCCCCCCCAAACACCCCTCACCCCTCCCCCACGCCCTCTCCCCTCCCTCACGCCCCTACGCCCTCTCCCACGCCCTTCTCCTTATACTCCTCCCTCACCCTCACCCCACCCTCTCCCCCCACTTCCCCTCCCATGCCCCTCCCCTACACCCTCTCTCCCTTCCCTCACCCCCCTACACCCCTCCCCGCACGCCCCTCCTTATTGCAGGCAAGAAATACGACAAGGGAACCGAACACCCCAATGACCTTATCGTCCGCAATGCAACACTCGAGGATGCCGGTCAGTACAAGTGCGTGGCTTTGCAACTCTCAAACTACACCTCCGAGGTCAAGGACTTGGTGATTGAGGTCAAAGTTCACCGTGAGTGGATTTTTTTTTTTTTTTTTTTCGTTTGGTTTTTGGATTTTTGCCTGGATTTTTTGGTGTTATTAAAGGTACTGTCACACTAGCATTTTTTCCGTCAATTTTTGGACGATTTTCTGAAATTTTGTCTATTTTTGAGCGAATTGTCGATTTTCTAGTCAGACGATAATGGTCGTTTCCGTCTGAAAACCTTCCCGTCAACTTTTTCAGCTAAGAATAGTCAAACCAAGAGCTATATTCGAGAATGTTTGTATTCATGTTAAATAAAATTGTCCAAAAATTGACGGAAAAAGTGCTAGTGTCACGCGGCCTTAAGAGGAGTCTTGGGATTCGATAGTAGGGGTTTGATAATCTTTTATGATGAGTATTATTATTGTGATTGGTTTTAAGGATTTTGGAATATGTTGTCGCTCGTTTATGAGTAAGAATATTGTAAAGATTGGATTGATTATTTTAAGGAGAAAACTCTAACCTGTTTTTTTTTTTTTCGTTCTTTCTTTCTTTTCTCTTCATTTTCCCCGTCCTCACCCCTCCCCTCCAACCCCAACACCCTTCCCCCTCCAATCCCAACACCCCCCCCTCCAACTCCATCACTTCACCCCAACACCGCTCCCCCTCCAACCCCAACACCACTCCCCTTCTAACCCCAACACCCCTCCCTTCCAACACGCTTCCCCCTACAACCCACCCCCTCCAACTCCACCCTCTCCCCCGACCCTCCAACCCAACCCCCATCCCAACCTCCCAACCCCCTCTCCAACCTCCCTCCTCCCCAACCCCCAACCCCCTCCCAACCCCAACCTCCCCCCAACCCCCCAACCCCCCGCACAAACCCCAATGGAGCGACAACGACCTCACGGCCCAAGCATACGGCTACGTGACCGGCGACGTGAACCTCACCTGCGAGGCCGTCGCCGAACCCCACGCCAACTTCACCTGGATCAAGGACGACCAGGTGATCGAGCCCAACGAGACGGTTCAGATCATCAACGAGGACCACAAGAGCGTCTTGAGGGTGAGGAAAGGGGGGCTATCGGGGGCTATCTATTTTTTTTTTTTTTTTTTTTTTTTTTTTTTTTTTTTTTTGGTGGGGGTGGGAGGGTGTCTGTCTGTATCTTTGTCTGTTTTGTTGGGGGCTGTCTTGGGCTATCCAGGGCTATCTAATTATCCTTTTTGGTGGGGGATGTTTGTTTGTATCTTTGTTTGTTTTGTTGGGGGCTGTCTTGGGCTATCGAGGGCTATCTAATTGTCCTTTTTGGTGGGGGGTGTTTGTCTGTATCTTTGTTTGTTTTGTTGGGGGCTGTCTTGGGCTATCGAGGGCTATTTAATTGTCCTTTTTGGTGGGGGTGTTTGTCTGTATCTTTGTTTGTTTTGTTGGGGGCTGTCTTGGGCTATCGAGGGCTATCTAATTGTCCTTTTTGAAGGGTTTGTCTGGCTTATTTTTGTGGTGGTTTGTTTGACTGTATCTTTGTCTGTTTTGTTGGGGGCTGTCTTGGGCTATCGAGGGCTGTTTAATTGTCCTTTTTAGGGGGTGTTTGTTTGACTGTATCTTTGTTTGTTTTGTTGGGGACTGTTTAGGGTTATCGAGGGCTATTTGATTGTCCTTTTGGGGGTGTTTGTTTGACTGTATCTTTGTCTGTTTTGTTGGGGGCTGTCTTGGGCTATCGAGGGCTGTTTAATTGTCCTTTTTAGGGGGTGTTTGTTTGACTGTATCTTTGTTTGTTTTGTTGGGGACTGTTTAGGGCAATCGAGGGCTATTTAATTGTCCTTTTTTTTTTGGGGGGGGGTCTGTCTGTATCTTTGTCTGTTTTGTTTGTGTGCGTGTGTGTGGTATCCAGAGCTGTCTAAATGTCTGTCTGTCTGTTTTGGGTATTAGATGTGGATTTCATTTAGTGCATATAATAATATATAATCGTCAACTGGCATTAAGAGCGTTTTCCTTTGAAGTGAGTTTAGGTTGAACTGTCTTGATGATTGTCTGTCTATGTCTGTGAGTGGCTGTCTATTTATTTTGACTGTCTTCCGTGAATGAGAGTGAGTGAGTGGTTGTTTTTTACTTGACTATGTACATCATTGTTTGTCTGTCTGTCTGTCTTTCTCTCCGAAGAATTTCATCGTTCGTCTACGTGTCTGTTTGTCTGTTTCACATGAGGGCGTTTTAAAAGTGATATATTTGTCTATTTGATTAGATGTCTGTCTGTCTGTATTAATGGAAATACAGTAACGTTTTGATGTTTTTGCCTTTATGTTCGTTTCTCAAGATAAAAAGAAAGAAAGAGATTTTTTTGTTTGATAAGGTGTCTGTCTGAATTAACTGGAATACAATAGCGTTTAGATATGTTTGCCTCAGTGTCTCTCTCTGTTTGTATGTCTGTTTGCTTAACGAAACAAAAAGACGATAATTCAAGAGGAAACAGAAGTCAGTGTTTACTATATTTATGTGTTTTTGTTTGTTTATTTGTCTGTATATTTATCCATTTCGTCTGTGCAATTAACGCCCCTTGGTCGATATCTCTAAATTTGTTTATCCATCTATCTCTATATCTATTTATCCATATATCTTCCCCTTTTTCCACATTTATTTTTTCCACAATGAAAAGTAACAGATATAAATATATTTGAAAATGACGTGCAGTTGTCGATCTATTTAATCTATTTAATCTATTTAATCTATTTAATCGATCTCTCCATGTATTTTTCCATCTATCTCTCCCTTTCTCTTTATGTATCAATCAATTTATCTATTTCTCACGACTTTAATTTATCCCACAAATGTTGTCTATTTATCCATCTATCTCGCCCTTTCCCTTTATCTATCAACCCATCTATCTATTTCTCACGACCTTAATTATCCCACAGCTAAAGGTAAGACAACAGGTAATAAACAACAGGCGTTATCTATGTATCCTTCTATCACGCCCATTCTCTTTATCCATCAATCCTTCTATCTCGCCCTTTCCCTTTATCCATCAATCCTTCTGTCTCGCCCTTTCCCTTTATCCATCAATCCTTCTGTCTCGCCCTTTCCCTTTATCCATCAATCCTTCCGTCTCGCCCTTTCCCTTTATCCATCAATCCATCTATCTATTTCTCACGACCCTGATTATCCCACAGCTAAAGGTCACCGACGTGGATATGTTCGGCGACTACGTGTGCAAAGCCGAGAACAAGCTGGGAACTCTGGAGCGCGTGATCATCCTCGAGGAAGGGAAGAAGCCGGCTGTGCCCAGTGCCAAGGTCGGGATGCGTTTTTTTTTTCGTTTTTTTTTTCGTTTTTTCTCGTTTTTTCGTTTTTTCGCTTCTTTCCGTTTTGTTTGTATTTTTTTCGTTTTCTGAAGATTTTTGTGTTATTTCAAATTGCTTTCGATTTTTTTTTTCTTCTTCGTTTTTTTCTTTCTATTTTTCTTTTCTCGTAGCTTTTTTTTTTACTTTTTATTTCTTTTTTTTCTCTTACTCTTCATCTCTTTTTTCCTTATTTTTTATGATTAATACAAGGTATGAAAAGTTATAAGCTGCAAGACTTTTCTCTTTGTCTTTGCCAGTTTCTTCTCTCTTTCTTCAAGTCAAAAAATACATTTTAAATCATGTGATCCCCCCCCCCTCTTCGTCTTTTTTTCCTGTTTTACAACTTTTTCTTCTGCTATATCCTCTCTTTCTATTTTTTCTTTTCTTCTATACATTTTCGTTTTCTTTTTCTCTTTCTTCTTCCTCTATTTCTTGTTCCTATCGAACATCTTTTTCGTTTTTCTTCTTTCTTTACTTCTTCTTCTCTTTATGTTTTTTTCTTATTTCTTCCTCTTTTTTCTTCTTTTCTTTTTCTTGTTCTTGAATCGCAGATATGGAAAATCTTTTTCAGATAAGATTTCATCCCAAACATTAATATACTGCAATATAAACAGATATTCTCCAGGATTTCTTAGAGTATAATCAGTCAAAAATCTTCCAAAGCCCAAAATAAATAATTTGATAAAGATGAGAAATTATTTTAAAAAAGAAAATCCTGGTGTAAGAATTTTAAGGCAGCCATGTGGAAAGTTATTGATGCACTGTGATATAATGATAATGGTACTAATGATAATAATAATTTGTCGCGATGCATGTACAACGCGTTTGTGTGTGTGTGTGTGTGTGTGTGTGTGTGTGTGTGTGTGTGTGTGTGTGTGTGTGTGTGTGTGTGTGTGTGTGTGTGTGTGTGTGTGTGTGTGTGTGAAGTGCACAGCCCTCTCCCTGATTTTGTGATACAAAGGGCGAAAAGAGAGAGAGAAAAAAAAGAAACAATAAGAAAAAAAAGGAAGATGCGTAGAAACAATCAAAGATAAAGAGAGAGAGAGAGAGAGAGAGAGAGAGAGAGAGAGAGAGAGAGAGAGAGAGAGAGAGAAGAGAGAGAGGAGAGAGAAAGAGAATGAGAGTTAGAGAGAGTGAGAGAGAGAGAATGTGAAAGAAAGAGAGAGAGAGATAGAGAGAATGCAAGAGAGAGAGAGAATGAGAAAGTAAAAGAGAGAGACAACCCTAGAAGCCCCCTCTTCAATCCCCAACCTCTTCACCTAACCCCAATACAACCCCCTCCCCCCAAAAAAAACACCCACCCTCCACCCTCGACCTCACCCAGTGCCCTTCTCCCAACAGGTGACAGAAACGGAGGTCAACGCTATCCACCTGAAGCTCGATGCCAACAACCACCCTGACATGCCCATCCTGGCCTTCCGAGTCCAGTACAAGACCGCTGGAGACAACTGGATTAACGCCCAGTCCATGGAGTTCAAGAAAGGTGGGTTGGCTGTGGACTTTTTTTTCCTCCTTTTTTTGCAACAGGAACAACGAAGGGAAGAACAAGAAAACACACGATTTTGTTCCTGTTGCAATCTGTTTGTCATGAATGCCATACATTCTCCTTTTTTGCAACAGGAACAACGAAGGGAAGAACAAAAAACGCGAATTTTCTTGTTCTTCCCTTCGTTGTTCCTGCTGTAATCTGTTCGTCATGAATTCCATACAGTTTCCATTTTTGTATATAGATTGATGGAGAGATGTATAGGTACAGGTATATATATATAGAGAGAGAGATAGGTATAGGTACAGAGAGATTGATAAATAGATATAGATGATATAAATAAATATATATATATATATATATATATATATATATATATATATATATATATATATATATATATATATATATGTGTGTGTGTGTGTGTGTGTGTGTGTGTGTGTGTGTGTGTGTGTGTGTGTGTGTGTGTGTGTGTGTGTGTGTGTGTGTGTGTGTGTGTGTGTGTGTGTGTGTGTGTATGTATATATGTATGTATGTATAGATAGATAGATTGATAGATAGATATAGATAGGTATATAAATAGATAGATATATCTATATAGATAGGTAGATAGATAGATATATAGATAGATAGATCCGAATATTTATACAGATATCGATATAGATACGGATATGAATATTCATATAGGTATTGATATGTATATCTATAGTTATAGATGTATATGTCTCAGTTTTAGAAGGAGAGAGAACCATAAAGATGGAAAGAAAACTAGAGAGATAGAGAGAGAACCAGAAAGATGGAAAGAAAACTAGAGAGATAGAGAGAGAACCAGAAAGATGGAAAGAAAACTTGAGATAGAGAGATAACTAGAAAGATGGAAAGAAAACTAGAGATAGAGAGAGAACTAGAAAGTTGAAAAGAAAACTAGAGAGATAGGGAGAGAACCAGAAATATGGAAAGAAAACTAGAGAGATAGAGAAAGAACTAGAAAGATGGAGAGAAACAGACAGAGAGGAGAGACATACAGACAGAAAGAGACATAGACACCTCTATATATCTAAGCATGACTCTGTTCATCTAAACACCTAGACAGATGACTAACCAAATTCAACTCGAAGAGCACTTTTTTATAATTTGTTAGATCATTTTTTCTTTTTTAATTATTTTTTTAATCAGGTAGAAGATTAGAAAATGTGGCTTTAGTATTTAATAATGTAGCCGATAAATTATTAATATCCACCCATAGATATTTATATGTACTAAGATTTGGTGATAATGATGGTGATGATATTGATAATAATGTTAATCGTATGAATAATGAGAGGTAGAATAATGATTATGATGATGCTGCTAATATTGATAGAAGCAGTAGTTGGAAGGGTAGTAGTGGTAGAAATAATGATAATAAAAGTAATGAAAATATCAACAACAATGATATAAAGAAAAATAGATAAATGATAATAATGAGGATGGTAATGATAATAATGATAATGATGATGATGATGATGATGATGATGATAATGATTATTATTATTATTATTATTATTATTATTATTTATTATTATTATTATTATTATTATTATTATTATTATTATTGTTATTATTATTATTATGATGATGATGATGATCATTATTATTCTTATATATTATTATTATTATTATTATTATTTTATTATTTTATTTATTATTATTATTATTATTATTATTATTATTATTATTATTATTATTATTATTAATATTATTGTTATTATTATTATAACAACAAAAACAACAACAACAACAATAATGATAATATAATAATAATAATAATAATAATAATAATAATAATAATAATAATAATAATAATAATAATAGTAAGAATAATAATGATCATCATCATCATCATAATAATAATAATAATAACAATAATAATAATAATAATAATAATAATAATAATAATAATAATAATGATAATGATAATAAGTAGTAGTAGTAGTACTGTAGTAGTAGCATTACTGTTATCCTAACAAAAATGATAATGATAATAATAACAGTAATAATACTATCTATGATGAAAATAATGCTGTCTACAATTAGAACAATATGCACTATACCGACAAATGCACCAATGTATTCTATAACAAAGTCCTTTCTGTGTGCTATAAATAGCCCTTTGGCTCACTCACAAATCACACTCAGTATGTAAATAGCGTCTGCCATCATGAATTCATGCCTCCCCTCTTTCGTTTTCAGGTAACAGATATATCAAATCTTAATTTTCTCCGATTATCCCCTTCTAATCTCATTTTGATCCCCTTTATATTAATTAACGATAAATCTACCAACCTTTCATTTCTCTTAAACTCGCCCTAAGTCATTTCAGATTTCCGTGCGTTAACTTTTTTTCCAATAATAGATCTAATAAGGGTCATATTCACGTATTGTTCTTGCCTTTCTCTTGCTTTTGAAATGTATATTATATTGCAGTCACCCCTCCTTCTTGTCAGTTCTTAACGTTTTCTGTGACAAATTGGCTACGCTCCCCTATATATTTTTTTTATTTAGTCTCCCCTAAGTACCGTAATTAGTTACTTTTTATTTATGCTGCAGAATTCTCTCTTTCAAATATATAAGCTTGTTTTTAACACATTGGGTTTTCCCCTTTTCTGTCAAGTAACAAAGCATCAGATACGTAATACTACATTTTCATCATCCTTGCGTCAAATATTCCATTTTATTTTCTCTCCTAGTATACTCTATGCCTCTCCTTTTCCTTTTTCTTTTATATTCTTTTATGTTCATGTTACTCCTACATACATTGTGCTTCTGACGTATCTCTTCCCTATAAAGTACATCATACGCTTTCTTATTTGTTCATCAATCTATTGCCTAAGGTACCCCTATAATATAATTTTCCGTTTTCTGTCTTTAAAAAATAGGGTGAACCATTTTCTCTAAAAAAAAAAATCCTAATTAACTAAGTTACCTAGCCTCTCATAACACCGAACTTATTCCAGCGAACATCTGATATACCGAAAACACACAATAATGTATTTTTTTTTTTTTTTGCATCCACTCCCGGAGACCAAAATAAGTCCTACAGAACAGTACAGAATATCAGCGATCAATAAACGGAAGTTACCCTTCGACGAGTTCCCTCTCCATGTATCTTTCTCTTTCTCTTTTTCTCTGTCCTTCTCCTTCCTATTTTCATTAATGTTTTTGCCATCTCTTCCCCGGGAAAGTAGGAATGTTTTGAATTTGTAAACAAAGAAAAAACTCTTGGAAACAGAATTCATGTTTGTTTTGAAAATAATGGTGGGAAGTTGTATTTTAAATGGCACTACTCTCCTTTTCTTTAAAAGCAGCATTTAAAATAATACATAAGCTACTTTGTTTCGATTTAAAAGAAAGTAAGAATAACAGAAAAAAGGCTTATTTACAATGTACATCTAGACGAGCTAACTTTTATTGCCGCAAGTCACCCTCGACGTGCTAACGTTTATTTCCGCAAGTTACCCCTCAACTTCGCTAACGTTTTCTCTGTCTCCTCCCAGGCGACCCGTACGTCATCAACAGCCTCGCCGGAGACACACTCTACGTCCTCCGAGCTTCTGCCAAGAACGCTGCCGGTTACTCTGACTTCTCCTCCGACTTTATGGAAAGAACCAAGAAGATTCACGAGTCCCAGAGCCAGATCTCGGCCGCGAACAGCCTCTCCGCCACGGCCCAGGTCTTCGTTCCTCTTGTGGTCCTCTTGGCGTCCCTCTTGTGAGCGAGTTCGACCACTTTTGGCGGTGATGATGCGTTGTAGGCCTATTTGTTTTCCTGCATCACGTTTTGTTAGGGGTATGGCGACAGTGACGTCAGATTTTGAGTCGTTGGAGATGACTATGAAGAAAGAAAGAAAAGAAAAAAAAATCTTGTGAAAATCATTGGTTTTTCCTGATGTATTATCTTTTTTAATTTGTTTTTCCTTTTTTTTTTTAGCTTTTCACTTTATTTCTTTTGTTAAGCTTCAAGTTCACAGTTCCAAGACATTGCGATTTTTATTTATTTTTTTTATTTTTTTTTTTTTTTTTAGAATTAGGTTTTTCCTTGATTGTTTGTATTTCTCTCACTAAGGAAATTAGGACCGATATTTTCTATAGCATTTTAGACAGCAAAATACATCATGTTTTCTCAGAGGTATTATAGAGAAACAGTATTAGAACATTAAATGCCAAGGCAACATCACTCATTAATATTTTGACTAAATAATGTATCACATGTACACATTTAGTAAAAAAAATATATAGATTAGACCCAAAATATGTTTATATACTCGAAACGCTCACAAAAAATAAGTATAGTTACTAAAACATTAATAAATTTACCTGTTTCCCCCTCCCTCCCCCCCATGCCTACCCTTCCACGCCACCCCCCCCCTCCTCCTAAAAGAAAGAATAAATACACCAAATAAAACGACTAAATAAAGGAAGAGAGAACCTAACCATGATTATTCAGCATCACCTTGTTGTTCGTGTGAAATTTCTTGTCATTTCGTAGCTGTTCAAGTAGTTATTCATCTTTCATAGGACCTATTTCTAAAAGATAGTCAGCGGCTTGACTGATATTTGTACTAACATTCCACGTGTTAGATGAAGTAGATATTGATATATGTTGATACAGCTGGAGATTCAAACAAAATCGGATGAAATTTGATCAAAATGTCTCAAGTTCAGTGTTGATGATATTTCATTTGTTCCTTTATATTTATGTTGTGGCATACGTATGTTGTATATGATAAATGTTTTCTGAAAAGGAAGAAAAATGGCACGTAGTACCTCTTGAGAACAGACCAGAATATTTCGCGGAAAAAAAAAACGCCAAAAACGCTAAAATATTGTTTCTTCCTCTCTTGAATCGCCAAAAATCAAAGCCATTGATTCGTGGGTGTTTTCTGGTCTCCTGTTTGTAGTCTTATTTAAAAAAAATAATAATAAAACTGAGCCTGAATTTTAGATGACCAGAAACCACCCAAGAACTGGAAAGACATTTTGATTTTATTTTTGGCCAACCTCATCGTATTCCAATAAAAGAGAGAGGAGAATTTGTGAAAAGAAAAGGAGATTTTCATATGAAAAAGGAGGACGTGGATTGCTAAATATAGTTAGTTCATGGTGGTGTTTAGAAAGATGTTTTCTATTATTCCAAAGTTCATTATAACTTGTATACCATGTTAGTGAAATGTGCTTATTGAGATGAAAAAAAAAAATAACATGATTTCTTTTTTTCGTCTTCTGCATCGACTCTTGCTGGAGAGTTCAATCTTCTTCCTTTCTTCTCTTTCTCTCTTCTCTTCTCTGTCTCTCCTTTTTCTTGTCTCTTTCTCTCTTTCTCTCTCTCTCCTCTTTCCTGATTAATTTTCTTGCCATCTTTTTTTCTTCCTTGGAAAAAAAATGTAAATAAAGAGAGAGAAAAAAAAATTTGGAAACAGAATTCATGTTTGCTTTGAAAATAGTGATGGTAAGTTGTATTATGAGTAAAGGAACATTACTTTCCTTTCTTTAAGAGTAGCTTTAAAACAAAACATGAGCTACTTTGTTTGAATTTAAAAGAAAGCAAGAATAAGAAGGAAAAAAAATATGTTTTATGTATGCTGTACATAAAGGCTAATAGTATATATATATATATTTACCTCCTGTGGTGTAAATGAAGTGGATTTTCAAATATGTTTGCTATTTGCTCAGTTTATTAAGTCGAATAAGCTAAGAGAGAGAAAGAGTTTGCCATCAAAAGAAAACATTTTTTTGTTGTTGTTTTTTAGGCTATTTTACGTAAAGAATGAATTTTGTTTGTTTGTTTGTTTTTCTTTTTGACACTCGGTTTGCACCACAGGAGTGTGTTGTTGTGCGTCTTATTAAGGAATCTCTGTATTGACGACGCTGACCAATGTTTAAGAAAGAACAAAAAAGAAAAAAAAAGTGTTTCGTAATCTTGTCCTCTTCACTTCCTCGCTTTATCTCTACTTGTATTTCCCTCTTTCTTTTTTTCCCCCTACTATCGTCTTTATTTTTCTCTCTTTCTCTCCTCTGACCCTATTTTTGATTTAATTATCTTTTTTTTTTATTAGGAACTAGGCCATTATCTAATGATGTCTTTGAGCATTTTGATTCCCTCTGGATTACTGAGGTCTTGAATTTTTAATTATACCACCGATATACCTTTGATCAAACATTACCTTATACTTATCATGTGTTTGCTGGTTCATGTTCTTACTCATTACCATTAGAAATTAGAAGAAAAAATGGACGAAAAGAACAAAAAAGGAAGAAGAGAAAATATCTGTCTATCTATATATTTTTGGGTCTATATCCAAAAAAATGAAAAAAAAACAAAGCAAAAAGAAAATCAAAGAAAATAAATATTGTGTCTACCCCTAATTTTCCGAGATTATAGTACGGGAGAGAGAGAGAGAGATAACATCTATTTCTTTCTCTCTTCCTTTCTCTTTTTCTTTTCTTTTCTAATGGATATGAATCATGATATGAACACCAGTATGATGACTATGAGGATGACTGGTCAATGGAGTTCAGTTGATGACTTTAAGAGTATTAATTCGAGTATTTATTATTGTCCATCCAACTGTAGAGGACATTATGTTTCCCATCTTTGTTGTACTTGGCTAAAGACCTTTTAACCAAAGACTCAAAAGAGATAATTGTGATTTTTGTAGTATTGTCTGTAGTTTCCTGTTTGAATGTACTATATGTCATCCTTTCCGAGATATTTTGGCCCTGTACAACAAAAAAATAAGATACTATATATAGGTGTAATGAATGGAAGGGAAGCTGAGGGGTTGTCAGACACTCTCGAGGCTAAATCTTTTCCTAAATCGTTTTCTCAGTTTTCTGTGCCCATCACTGTCTGTTCTCATATGCCATGTGGTTGCAAAACATATTTTTTTTAGAAAGGTAAATAGGTCTTAGTACATAATGCTGTAATTTAGAAAGTAACCGTGGGAAAAGATTATGAGGCAGAGCTGTTTTTTAAGGTTTGAATGATGTTCTTCCTGCTTGTGGGTTGCTCGGGGGCGTGCCTGGGCGTGCGTGGGAGTTCAGTGTCTCTTTCGGTATGTGTGCTTGTGTCTGTGTGTGTGTGTGTGTGCTTGCGTGTGGGTGTACGTGTTTTCCGTGCGACTGCGTGAGAGTTTGTGTAAGAGTGCGCGTGCTTGCATTTGCTTGTGTATGTTCGCATTATTTTAATACTGACATTAATACTGACAGTTTTTTTTTCTTCTTTTTTTTTGTAAGGATTAGCAAAGAGTGACTCAGTGTCCGAGAGTGTTTTTTGTGATGTAGGTTCAAAGCTTTTAGCACCTGGCGGAAACTGATAGACATTTATATAAGCATTCTAAACTTTAATTTAGCACACTGGACAAAAGTCGACAGGGTTACAGAAAAAAAAATGTTGATAGTAGGGCACTGCTGAAATAATATCTGTCTTTAAAGCCAACCCTTCTCACAAACACGTTTTCTCATGTAATATTCATCTGTCTCCGTCTTAGAGTTATGGATAGACGTGCATGTTAAGATTCAAGTCAATAAGAATCATGTCAATAAAGTTTCAGAATAGCGATGGGATTCAGATGCTTCTGAACCCCTAACAACTGATGAATAAAAGGGTTCATAGTTTTCGAGATAGAATCCAAAGAAACAAGAAATGGATTCTTTGTACCTGTAAGACAAACAATGAAGTAAATAAAATACCTTATACTTGAATGACTGAATTGGTAACAAAAACAAAAACAACAAAAACATGAGAGAAAAAAAACTTTAGATATACAAATTTTGAAAGAAAATAAGGTTTATAAATGTATCAAACCTCAAAAAAATAAAAGAACTAGAATGGGAAAAGGCTTCTGTTGCCCACCGAAGAGTTGTGTCTGTGTCCTGATCACTTAATGTCCTTCCAGCTCGTGTTCGCTCCTTTGATGTATATACTGTAACATGTTTGGCGCTCTTGCTAAACCATTAAAAAGTGCCAGAAATGAAAGCTTTTCCTTTCGTCCTCCTTCGAGAGTTTCAAGGGGTGTTTTGGGAAGTGGAGTGTGTTTTCAGATTTCGGTGTTTTCAGATTTATGTATTTTTAGATTACGGTGTTTTAAGAAACGAATGACTTCTTTCCGTGTGTTTAAAGGTGTATTTCGGAAGTAAACAGGAAAAGAAAGATTCATAGCTTTTCTACACTTAGCTCAATGAATACAACGTATATGTATACATACATATATGCATACATGTATACATACATATATATATACAATTATCTGTATATACATATATACATACAATTATATATATATATATATATATATATATATATATATATATATATATATATATATATATATATATATATATATATATACATACATGTATATATACATACATACATATATCCATACATATACACATACAGACATATGTGTGTTATGTATATGTTATATATATATATATATATATATATATATATATATATATATATATATATATATATATATATATATATATATATAATATATATATATATATATATATATATATATATATATATCTTATTCATTGCGAGAAACATAGACATGGTATGAATGACAATGGATATCTTCACAATACAAGCGATGATTTCAACCAATATCGAATTATTACATATTCAAAACCGGTTTAATGCATCTATTGTATTGTGAAGATATTCATTCTTACCTGTACCCCATACATATATATGTGTGTGTGTATTTATAAGTGTGTGTGTGTGCCTTACGTGTGTATGTATACTCACATGCATGTATGTTCTTCCCCTCCCTCCTTCCTCCTCGCCCCCCCCCTCTCTCCCTCCGTCCAGGCAAGCAGGCGCCGTTCGCTGGTTCTTGGCACGTGACTAACTCGGTGCTTAACTCATGGCCCTCCTCCCCTTCCCCATCCCCTCCCCCTTCCTCCTTCCTTCCTTCCCCATCCCTCCCCCTTCCTCCTTCCTTCCTTCCCCATCCCTCCCCTTCCTCCTTCCTTCCTTCCCCCTTTCACCTTCTCCTGTCTCCTTCCCCTCTCCCCTTCCTCTTTCCCTTTTCTCTTCCCTCTTTCTCTTCCTCTTCCTCCTCCTCCTTCCCCAATCATCTTTCCCTCCTCCCCTTCCTCCCTCCTCTCTCCCTTCCCCCTTTTCTCTTCCTCTTCCCCTTCTTCACCCCTCCCACTCCCCTCTCTCCTTCCCCCATTCATCTTCCCCTCCCCCTTCCTCCCTCCTCTCACCCCTCCCTCTCTCCTCCCCCCCCTTCTGACGCCAATATGTGCCTTGGGAATATGATCTGCAAAGACTCAGGCACGGGCGGTTCAGCATAGCGTAGCATACCGTAGCATAGCATAGCATAGCATAGCGTAGCATGATATAGCGTAGCATAGCATAGTATAGCATAGCATAGTATAACATAGCATGATATACCGTAGTATAGCATAGTATAGCGTAGCATGATATAGCGTAGCATAGCATAGTGTAACATAGCATGATATAGCGTAGCATAGCATAGCATAGCATAGTATAGCATAGCATAGCAATGATATACCGTAGTATAGCATAGTATAGCGTAGCATGATATAGCGTAGCATAGCATAGTGTAACATAGCATGATATAGCGTAGCATAGCATAGTATAGCGAATCATGATAGAGCGTAGCATATCATAGTATACCGTAGCATAGCATAGTATAGGGTATTACAGCTAAGTATAGCATGGCGTAGCAAAGAATAGCGCAGCATAGCGTAGCAAGGCATAAGTAATATGATATAGCCTACCTTTGCATAGAATACCTGGCATATAGACTGCGTTGTCTACCTCCTTGTAGGGCTACGAGAGCAGGCCATTCCATAAGATAGCAAAAGTCAGCGAATCGAGAGAGAGTTAGGGAGTGGGAGAGAGGGTTAGGGAGAGGGAGAGAGGGTAAGGGAGAGTGAGAGAGAGAGGGGGTTAGGGAGAGAGAGAGGGGGGAGGGGTTAGGGAGAGGGAGAGAGAGCGAGAGTTAGGGAGAAGGAGAATGAGCGAGAGTTAGGGAGAGGGAGAGAGAGAGTTAGGGAGAGGGAGAGAGGGTTAGGGAGAGGGAGAGAGAGCGAGAGTTAGGGAGAGGGAGAGAGAGCGAGAGTTAGGGAGAGGGAGAGAGAGAGTTAGGGAGAGGGAGAGAGGGTTAGGGAGAGGGAGAGAGCGAGAGTTAGGGAGAGGGAGAGAGAGAGTTAGGGAGAGGGAGAGAGGTTAGGGAGAGGGAGAGAGGGTAAGGGAGAGTGAGAGAGAGAGGGGGTTAGGGAGAGAGAGAGGGGGAGGGGTTAGGAGAGGGAGAGAGCGAGAGTTAGGGGAGAGGAGAGAGAGCGAGAGTTAGGGAGAGGGAGAGAGAGTTAGGGAGAGGGAGAGAGGGTTAGGGAGAGGGAGAGAGAGCGAGAGTTAGGGAGAGGGAGAGGAGAGAGTTAGGGGAGAGAGAGGAGAGGGAGAGAGGGTTAGGGGAGAGGAGAGAGAGCGAGAGAGAGGGGGAGAGGGAAGAGAGAGCGAGAGTTAGGGAGAGGAGAGAGAGAGTTAGGGAGAGGGAGAGAGGGTTTTAGAGAGGGAGAGAGAGGGGAGAGAGGGAGAGGGAGAGGAGAGAGAGGGAGAGGGAGAGAGGGTTAGGAGAGAGCGAGAGTTAGGGAGAGGGAGAGAGAGCGAGAGTTAGGGAGAGGGAGAGAGAGAGTTAGGGAGAGGGAGAGAGTTAGGAGAGGAGAGAGAGAGCGAGAGTTAGGGGAGAGGGAGAGAGAGCGAGAGTTAGGGAGAGGGAGAGAGAGTTAGGGAGAGGGAGAGAGGGTTAGGGAGAGGGAGAGAGAGCGAGAGTTGGGAGAGGGAGAGAGAGCGAGAGTTAGGGAGAGGGGAGAGAGAGAGTTAGGGAGAGGGAGAGAGAGGGAAGGGAGAGGG